TGTGTGTGTGTGTGTGTGTGTGTGTGTGTGTGTGTGTGTGTGTGTGTCTTCCAGGTTTGCGTTCCAGTACAACCCGTCTCTGCAGCCCAGAGCTCTGGTGGTGTTCGGCTGCATCAGTAAGCGGGTGAGCCACGGCCAGATCAAGCAGATCATCAGAATCCTCAGCAAGGCCAGTCCTCTGCTGAGCATCGACCGGGTGAGACAGCGTCACTAACTGACATCTGGGGGGTACTCGCATCAGAGTCATCCTCAAACTGTGTTAGGCTTTTATTTTGTTAACCCTCTGAACCCCAAAAACCCACCGGCGGGATTGAAAAGCATGTTTTCTTTAAACTATCACCAAAACTTCGTTTCTCACAACTAGAAGCTGTAAAAACAGACATTATCTTCAGGGTTTCATCTTTCCCACGGCCCATGAACTCATCATGTGCTTCAGTCAAAAGGTTTTAATAACTGTTCATACAGGATTACTTGTTTATTGTAGCAGCTCATGCATCATATATCTTGTTGTTGTGCTGACTCGTGAGTCTCTTGGCCCCTCCTCTTCCTCAGGGTCTGGAGAGCTGTCTGAAGGGGCCGGACAACTACAACAGCCAGGTGTTGATCGAGGCCACGGTCATCGCTCTGACCAAGCTGCAGCCGCTCCTCAGCAAGGTACGCCCCAACCAGCCCCCGTCTGTTGTGTTTGTACCTGCAGCTGCTCATTGAGGCGAGAAGGGTGATCAGTGGCTACTCTATGGATTATGAACTATCAGTATGCCTGATGTGTGTCTGGCTGACACACACTGGTTTGAAAATGAAGGTGAATTAGACAAAAACACAGCAAGAACAGACTGTGTGTGCTCCACCTTTACACATAGCGTCGTCTTATTGAGCGCCAGCACGAAGAGGACACGGAGTTCATGTGTGTGTGTGTGTGTGTGTGTGTGTGTGTGTGTGTGTGTGTGTGTGTGTGCGTGTGCGTGCAGGAGTCTGAAATGCACAAAGCTCTGTTCTGGGTGGCGGTCGCTGTGCTGCAGCTGGACGAGGTCAACCTGTACTCGGCTGGAACCGCCCTGCTGGAGCAGAACCTCCACACGCTGGACACCATGCGGGTCTTCAATGACAAGGTGAAGCACACACACAATAGCGTCACACTAAATCCAAATGTACCGCCTCAGACTGCAGCAAACAGCAAACAGTGAACAGGAAGTGACCATATCTGGACTGAGGAGGAGTGACGTAG